GGACTGCTCTCTCCCCTCATTGCTCCAGGCTCCACTGAATACAGGCAGTGCCCCATTCTCCCCCTTTACTTGATCTTGGAGGTAGAGACTGAGCCAAGATGGGTTCTCCAGTGTCCCAAGGGCAAGGAGGTGGCCTGAGCCTGCTGCCTGCTCAAGTCCCAGGTCCAAAGAGAAGGCCCAGGGCTCTGCATGAGGCTGGGGAATGTCTGTGGGGAGAAATGATTATCCTGAGGCCTTGAAGCTAGGACTTCAGGGAGGAAAGGGGTCAGTGGTGGAGGAAGACGGGGCAGGCCGAGCTGGCCAAGGTGGGGAAAAGAGGCTCCAAGGAAATCTACCTCGGAGATTGAATTCTGCATGAGTCCCTGCAGGGAGAAATATCCCAGGATTTGATTCGACATCACAGCTTCTGAGGCTAGTGGGGGCAGATGCTGAGATCTCGGCCTGTTTGTCCAGCCAGGAATCTCGGCGCAGGCAGCCATCCAGGGCAGGAATGAGCTGGAATGTGATGGAGGTGAGATATGGGGATGTAGAAATCAGGTCATCAGAGCCCCAGTCCCAGCCTCCCTGCCTCAGTTTACTCCCCTCTGAGCATCTGGCCTCCCCCTTGTGCTCTCAACCCATCCCATCTCCCTAAAAGCATGGACTTTGATTCCCACGGCCACTCACTTAGCATGCTTTACCAAGACTTGGCTAGGGTTCCGCCCCTGTGATGTAGTTACCGGCAACCGAAGGTTGGAAGAAGGGAAGAGCAGTCCCCCAACCGCAATCTTCAAGGTAGGATGGTCTTTGCTGGCCAGGGACCCAGAGACCTGTCTCAGGCACAGCACCTCCTCCCCATCCACCCTCAGCAGCACAGAGTCTCCATCAATCTTGACTTCCACCTGCAGGAAGGTGGGAAGCAGAATCAGAGGCCCCTGGGAGCTGTCTCTGCCACCTTCCTGGGAGCCAGCCTCGTACTATAGTGGAAAGAACATGCCTTAAAGACTCAGCTGGCATCCTTGGCCTTGGCTCACTAAGGCCTTATCACTTACCTACTGATTGAGCCTTAGAATTCCTGTCAGATAAGATGGGACCAAGAATAGCTACCTTGTGGGGGTTCGTGCGGATTAAATGAGATGACAGTGGTAAAGGGATGGCCAATAACTTGGTTTCGTTCCTTTTCCTCAGACCAGCTCCAGACATCCCTCCCCTGGGACCACAGCTAGCTTACCTGGTGCCATCTCCCATCATCCAGTCGTGGTCCAGCACCCACCGTAAGCTGAGCCCAGGGATTGTGCAGTTGGATCTCAGGCCTGCCATCCCGAAGTCCCAGCATAAACCAGTCATCCTTAGGGTTGGTATCCCCATAAAAAATCACTCCCTCTGGGTCCCAGGTTCGAATCTCAAAGGAGGAGGAGGATCTGGAAGTGCAGAAGGAAAGATTGTCTATGCCATGTGCTCTTTGAGAGCCAGTGTGGGTTTGGGGGAGGTGTTGTTCACAGATAAAGAAGGAAAGGAAGACAGGGAAAGAGAAGAGGTGATGGAGAGAGGGCAGAGCCAGGGGACTGGGTCAAGCACTAGGCCAACCCCATACTTTGTAATCTTGGTGAGGTCAAAGGTCATGACAGCAACAGGCTCGCGTCCTGGGCCATTGCTGAGGTGGACACCTGGAAAGTCCTGGGTTCTCTATCAGAAAGAGAAAATACACAAGGCTGAGTAAGGACTTTTCAGAGACAGACAGAGGGGGAGGCACTGCTACAGGGCCAGAGGAGCAGAGAAGGGGAGATGGCATGAGCTGAGCCCCCGTCCCGCTCCTGCACCTGGGTGGGGAGAGTAGGTCTCAGGGCCCATCCCTGGTGAGTGGCAAGCAGCAGTAGCAACAGCAGCAGGCGCGAGGTGGCCAGTGGGCCTCTGCTCTCCATAGTCAGCCGCTGTCCACTCGGGGCTCGGACAACTCTTGGGAGAATGTGTAGAGGCAGGCAGACTTGCATGTGGGCGGTGGAGGGTTAAAGGTTGCCCCCGGGGAGGGGGGAGCAGGGTAAAGGAAACAGGGGCACTGACCCTTGACCCCTGCCTAGATACCCAGTCACAAGACACAGCTGCCAACACTCTGGGGATCAATGGGGTGAATGACAGAGTCCTTCCGCTACCATCCTCCACTGCCAAGAAAGTTTATGAGCTGGGAGAGGATACTCCATCCCCCCTCTCTTCCACCTTTAGGGCCTGACCTAGGTCCTCCAAGCTTTCTGTCCATCTGGGGAGGCTGCATTCACAGGCATGAGGTCTAGAAACAGCCCTGCCCTGCATGCCAAGTAGCAACCTGTATGAGGGCTGCAAATGAGAATGGAATCCTAAATTTCTAGCTGGGCAAATTTGGGCAAGTCACTTCATCTTTGGGCTTCTGTGACCTTGTCTGTAAAATGAGGAAAATAATAGTTTATGGGGTAACTATGAGAGAGTGTTCATTGAGATAATGCAGGCACAGTGCCTGACATCTGGTCTGAACTCCCGCCCAGTCTTTTCCCAGGCCTCTGAGACCTGTCTCCCAAGAAGGTATTGTTGTGTGTATGATTCAGTGAATATTAAGAAGGGACCCACCTCTGCCTCCCAGTGATCCTACCTATCCATTTATTGCAGGGCCTAACAGTCTAGCGGTAGAAATTCATCACCCACTCCCTGACCAATTTTTATTTATTTTAGACAGAGTCTTGCGCTGTCACCCAGGCTGGAGTACGGTGGCATGATCTCAGCTCACTGCTGCCCTCGCCTCTTGAGTTCAAGTGATCCTCCTGTCTCAGCCTCCTGAGTAGCTGGGACTACAGGTGCATGCACCACCATGCCCACCTATTTTTTTTTATTTTTTATTTTTAGTAGAGACGGGGATTTCACCATGTTGGTGGGATTACAGACGCCAGCCACCATGCCTGGCTAATTTTTGTATTTTTAGTAGAGACAGGGTTTCACCATGTTGGTCAGGCTGGTCTCTAACTCCTGACCTCAAGTGATCTGCCTGCCTCTGCCTCCCAAAGTGCTGGGATTACAGTCATGAACCACCGTGCCCAGCCCCTGACCCATTTTAAAATTCAAATGTCAGACCAGTCGCGGTAGCTCACATCTGTAATCCCAGCACTTTGGGATGCGGAGGTGGTCAGATGAGGTCAGGAGTTCCAGACCCGCCTGACCAACATGATGAAACCCCACTTCCGTTGCAGTGAGCCGAGATCGTGCCACTACACACCAGCCTGGATGACAGAGTGAGACTCCGACTCAAAAAAAAAAAAAAAAATCCATCTCCATAAATAAATAAATAAAACATTTTTATAAATGCAAATTCCCCCCTGAGAGAAATAACACTTCAAGCTACTCGAGAGCTGCAGAAAACAGCTTTCAGAGCTGGCAGTCTTGGGGCTTACCCAGGGTCTGGGCGGGTGAGTGAGCCTGAGGCTAAAGCAGATAATCACTGTATACGTCAATGTATTTTTTATTTTATTTTTATTTTTATTTTTATTTTTTATTTATTTATTTATTTATTTATTTTTTTTGAGACGGAGTTTCGCTCTTTGTTACCCAGGCTGGAGTGCAATGGCGCGATCTCGGCTCACCACAACCTCCGCCTCCTGGGTTCAAGCAATTCTCCTGCCTCAGCCTCCTGAGTA